GGGTTTGTTATACTACAATTGTAATAAGGAACCTCCGAAATAGTTTTGAACAGGGTTTTGGGGTTGTTATACTACAAGTATAATAAGGAACCTCCGAAATAGTATCTTTGGAAGCGTGAAGAATTCGAACGCAAAGCGTAGAATAAGACCTCAGCATTTCATGTTTCAAACCTCGTGTGAGCGCAACAATGCACAAAAGATCCTCACGCTGACAGCTCCCAAAGGAAAACCGTAAAAGATGCAGAAGCTTCCGAACCCACACACCTTCAGCAAAAGGTGAGAGAGAAAACCCCACCCAGAGCCTCCAAAACCCCTTAATTGAGGAATAGACCTTAAATTATAAGAGGATCCCTATTATAATTTAAGGTATATTCCTTAATTGAAGGGTTTTGGAGGCTCTGGGAACCCCAACCCGAAACCCTAAACCCAAACCCAGAAACCTGGACCTTCGTCCAAGTCGAGGCGCACCGCCGACTGCTTGTTGCCGTCGACACTGGAACCTTAACGGTTCTATAACAAGGGTTGCTTATCCGGCCATTGCCGGGATGGGCTCTCTCAGCTCCATAAGGGCTCTGACATGTGTGTGTGCGTGTATGTATATATATATATATACACATGGAACCCCCGTAAAGCTGCGAGCTGTGTGTCAGGCATGGCTTGACAGCTTTGCTTCTCAACTGCTTAGTGGCTTCCATACCCTAAACCATAACCCTCAACTCAAAATATGGCGGCCTGAATGATTAGACTGGGGATTTGTGGCTTTCCATGCCACAATTGATGATAGTTGTACAGAGGAACACGTCTATTGAAGTTTTGGGAGCCAAAACCCTTCAAATAGACTTAGGGTTCTAGGCATGCCCTTTGCTTATGCCATAGGAGACTTGACCGTGGAAAAAAGGGCACTCAGTGGGCACTCAGGGCAAGTTAATGAAAACCCATATGTATAGCATATACAGAGCATTTTAGTAGTTATCCAGACATCAGCTACTACGAACTTACCGTAAAGCTTCAGTTGGCTCGATGACACGACGAATCAGGATTTCGACATCTAACGTGCTTCCGAAAAATCTAGTATAGTGTTTCGATTTCGATTTGTAGGGTTCAGGTTGTACACGGTTCAGGGTTTCGTATGGTTTCACGAAAATGCGCATACGTGCTGTTTCCAGCAGCGTCCAGAATCCGCAATTCCACACGCCACACAAACAAGTTCGAAGCCATGAAACCCAATAATGCCTGGAACTTTAAAATCCTCGTGACACATCCTCTTACCCGTCGGCTTGAACCCGCCTAAAAGCTCACTTCACTCTGAATCCGTCTCCATCCAATCCTAACCGGAAGCCCTAACCCTAAACTCCTAACCCTAAACCCTAAACCCTAAATGCCAAATGCCATAAACAACCCTAAAAAGCCCTGACCCCTAAACACCAAACACCTAAACCCTAAACCCCTAAACCCCTAAACCCCTAAACCCCTAAACCCTTAAACCCTAAGCTCAGCGAAGCACCCCATGGCTCCACCCACACGGAGATGCTACCCGCAGAAGTCCCTCGGACGAGGACAACGGCCTGCTTTCGACGGCATTTGGAACTCGTAACCCTGCGGTTTAGGGCTTTAGGGTTTAAAGATTAGGGTTTAGTGGTTTAGGGTTTTAGGGTTTCGGGGTTTCGGGGTTTGGGGTTTTAGGGCTTAGAGTTTAGGGTTTAGGGGTCTAGGGGTTTATTCAGGGTTTAGAGTTTCGGGTTGAGGGGTCTAGGGGTTTAGGGCTAAGGGAGCCTGAACCATAAATACCCTAAGCCATAAGCCTAAAGCCGAAACCGTAGCCTAAACCGTTAAGCTTTGCAAGGTTCTTAAGGGGTCCTCTAAAACCTTTCGAGGGACGTGCATGGAGGTTTTGTATGTTAGCATAGGGTTTGGGAGATATCATGGTATATTCCCAGAGCCTCCAAAACCCCTTAACTACACAATATACCTTCAATCATATTAGGGATCCGATTATGATTTAAGGTATATTCCTTAACTAAGGGGTCTTGGAGGCTCTGGGCGTGCATGGGGACTGCAAGTGCACAGTATTGCCCGTGTTCGCAGAATTTGGGCCGACAGGTGTGCTTGGTGGGCTTGTAGGGGTGAGGGATTAGGGCTAAGAGCGCGGGGGCTGCGAGCCTTTCAGAGTTTGGGAGGGTAGGGCGTATACGGTTGAGGTCTTCCAGAGCTTAGGTAGAAACGGCTTTGAGCCTTCTGTGCAAAAGCTCTAATGCCTCAGGCCTCAGACGTTAATTTGCAAAAACACCCAAATGGCATCAAGATCAGAAAGCTCAGTTTAAAGCCCTGCACCTCCCAAAAGAAGCGGCAAACAAAAGACAAGAACAAGACGATGCCTCCAAATGTGAGGGTACTATACAGGCCCAAATAATTACCTACAATATTCCTTAAAAGTTCCTTTTTATTACTCTCCTATGAAGAAGCCCCAAACCCTATTCTAATTATTAAGGCCCCTATATGGGGGTTTCCGAAAATAGGGGTACCTTATATTTGGGGGTCCTTATAATAAGGATCCTATTGTTTATATGGGTCCCCTATTTTCGGAAACTCCCATATTATTCCTGATAATTGTCAGCCCCTAGAACTCCAAGCAAGCCCTCATGCAAACACTCCCCCCGAAGCCCCCGACCTCAAACCTAACCTGTTTGCTGAACGCCTCAACCCTAAACCCCATACCCTAAACCCTGAACCCTGAACCCTGAACCCTAAACCCTAAACCCTAAAGCCTAAATTAACTCAAAATCCCAAGGAAACCCCCCGAGGAAGAGCCCCTCAACCCTACGCCCCAAAGCTGAACCCCTAAACTCTGTTGTAGGAGCCATAATAATTCGAAAAGGGGTTTGGAGGGTACATTACATTATACTATACTTATGAGAAGGAACCCCCCAAAGTAGTATTGGTTAATTATCAAGGCCCCTTTGGTAAACCCTAGACTCTACACCAGAAACCCCGAATGCTAAACCCGAGCTCGAAAGCCTCTCCCCGAGAGTTGGAGTGAAATCGTCCGCCAGGACTGAGAATCTCCAGACGCCTCTTCGGAGCGTTGGGCATCCAGAGACTCCAATATCCCTTAATTAAGGAATATTCCTTAAATCATGTTAGGGATCCTACTGCAATTTAAGGTATATTGCTTAAGTAAGGGAAATTGGAGTCCCTGGGCATGAGGATGACCACAGTTTAGGGTTTTTTTAAAAAAACTCCTCTTCCCCAATTCCCCGCAAGGTCTCGACAGTCCGCTACGGCCGTTTAGGGTTTAGGGTTTAGGGGTTCTGTTATTTTGCCGTTTTGCTGTTTATGCGTTGTTGCCTAGTGTTCGGGGCGTAAGGATAACTTTGGGTTAGGGTTGTCACTTTGGGCCTTAGGTCTGTTTTTGCTGAGGGATCAGGTCTGTATAGGAGGCTTCATGAAACTTTGGCAACAGGTACTTGTTACTGGTTCCACGACTGCTGCTTCAGGACTGCGGAGGTAAGGGGTGAGGCTTTCAGGGCAGAAACTAGGTGCCTGCAATCAATGTACACTGTATGCAGTTCCTGCAGGACTCGTCGGAAATTGAAGGCTTGATGGGTTTCAACGGCAGTTTTTGACTGTAGGCCTAAACTCTGCGCCCTCAACCAGTCCGGCATGGCGCGGCTTCGGGATGATGAATCTTGTCAGACTGGGACTTACAGGGATGGTTCTCTAAACTGAAATACCTTCGGGCTGCCATAGGGGTGGTTGTCAATATTAGGGTCCCGTTTTAGGTCCTTGTTATGATACGGCACCTGATATTTAGGGTACCCAAAAAAGGACCCTGATTTTGACAATCATCCATAAAATACAGCACCCAGCACCGCCAGGGATCCTGATACCTAAACCCAAGGTTTGAGCACTGCTAGTTGCAAGCTGTGCAGGCGAGAATGCTGTCGATGTCACCAGGCGAGCATGACGTACATCCTACTGGCCTATACTGAACTTAGAACAATAGCAAAAACTATAATTTTAGCTGTTTCTTAGGGATTATAATAACCAAAAATTAAAAACTGTTTGTAAGTACCCCTAAGGGTAGTTGATGTGCGGTAGCGGTGTTCCTTGCAGCTTTTGGGTCGGGCAACGGAGATGCCAGAGCCCCAGCATGCAGGAATGCCCACACTGTCGCCCCGGTCGCATTCCGTGGGTGGCATGTGCAATGCTGACGATGGCCGAATGCACATAACTTCTGCTGCCTGCGGCTTCACCAAAACACGAACTCCCTGCCGTGCACCTCGACGCAGCATGAAAGGCTCCGCGGCTGCAGCAGCCCCAACCGCTGCACCGTAAGAAACTGCTGCACACGGTCATGCTGACCGTGTTTCTGGGCAGCTTTGTCATAGATTCGTTTATTGGCCGGTGAAAGGGCTTCAAGACCCCAAACCAGAAAACTTGAATTCAAGTCAATTGGAGGGCCTCAGGTTGAACCGTTTGGGGTTTACTGCATCACAAAACATCATCGAAACGCTCCTCACAGTCTTCAAAACTCGGGGGCACCTCACCCAGAGAAATTACAACCCCACTGTCAGGGCTAATCTTCTGATTCTGCTGGCGAGGATGACCATCTGAGGCGGCTGGCGCTACTATGGTGATGACGATGATGTTGACTCTTGTGACGAAGGTGATGACCATCATGGTGGAGATGTTGCTGCTGATGATGCTGACGATGCTGGTGATGCTTTTGATGCTGGCAATGCTGGTAATGCTGGTAATGCTGGTAATGCTGACGAAGCTGACCATGCTGATGATGATGATGAAGATGAAATGATGACGATGATGGCGATCATGGTGATGGTGATGATGATGGTGATGACGATGATGATGATGATGATGGCGGTGATGCTGAAGCTGTTGATGATGATGATGGTGGGGATGATGACGATGATGATGATAGTGAAGCTTCACGGCCCGAGCTGTTTTTGAGTGAGCGCCCTCGAGGGCGTAGATGCGGCGCCATGGTGTTCGACGACCAGCGGCTTCCGAGTCGGCTGTTCGACGACCAGCGGCTTCCGGGTCGGCCGAGTCAGGGGCAGGTGATCCCATCGAAGACTCTTCACCAAGGAATCCTCAAGAGACCCAAGATGCTGTGGCTGATCGTGATGCTGATGCCAATGCTGCGGCTGTGGCGCCTGTCAGAATGCGTGGCAAGCAGGGGTTCTCTAGCCAAGCCCTTGATGACGTCTCTGATGGAATCGAGAGCGGCTCCAACACCAGCGAGAGCGACACTTCTCGCAACACATCTGTCTCCACTGAACTGCCCAGCATCGTCTCCTTGGAGCTGGTCGGGCCCCCTCTGGACAGAGCCAAATCATACGTGCTGGACCTTTACCGCCGAGAACTGCCTGCCACCAGGCCTAATGACAGTGCTCGCTCCCATGGAGCACGACTGGGATGGGCCAAGCGTGATCTTGCAAAGCGTGACTGGAACTCCACCAAGTGGGTGGCCGGCCGCCTGCTGTCCAACTCGAGACTGCACGACTGGCTGGGCTTTGTGCAGGAAGAAGGGCATGCACCCAGAGACGAGCGTCTCGGGTGATCTCCGAACTGCAGTGCCCAAGCCGTTGGTCTTCTACCGATCACGAAATCTACGTGCTGCTCCCTTCCAGAGGCCTGTACCAGCTAGGTACCCTAAACGTAACACCACGCGATCCCGCCGATCCTCTACGACTTTGTTTGTCCCTACACAACCTCACCCCGCTTCCTTCCCAGCCCCAGCACGACACAGCAGGTGTGTTGGCCGGGCTGGCCATGATGCCAGCTGCTGGCGGTTGGAGACAGGGTGCTCCCCAGGGTCAGGCGCAATTCAGGGACACACTCAAAGTAGACAATGTAAAACTCACTCATGCACACAAGCTCCTTTAGGCCGCGGCGGTCCCAATTCCGTCGGAGGTGGCAGAGCAAGGTGTCTACTCATGTTGCTTGTAACCACCTTTGAAGCGAGGGTTTCTCTTGCTGCCACGGCAGGAGAAGGACCCAACCCGCCTGGGTTGGGGAAGCATCGTGGAATTGCGCAGGGTCTAGGCTTTCGTGAGTCCACTAGCTATGCAAAAAGCACAAAGCGAGCATTTCGAAGAGCCAGGCTGCGTGCACAACAGTCGCTGTCTGGTGGCACCTTCTATCGAGGACAGTGGTGCACCGGAGAAACCCTTCAAGCCATGTCTAACACTCCCGTTTCTAGCCATAAGCCCCATAGCATGGCATCGCGGAACAGGACGCTTCAACATTCCCGACAGCCGTATGTTCGTTGCTTCAGTTGGAACTCCAGTGGCCTCACCTCTGCCCTGTTCCAGGAGCTGCTTTCCTGGCTAGATGAAGAGAATCGTTACGATCTTGTTGTTATACAAGAAACACATTGGGGGCCCTGTTCCGATTTTCGTAGCGGGGGTTGGTCGTGTCTGCATTCTTCAGGCTTTGGCACAGAGGTGTCCTACGACAAACACGGAGGCATCCTTGTATTGGCACGGACGGAGGTATTCACAAACATGGCATTTCAAGAGGTTTACCCGGGTCGGCTGGTGCACTTTCGCGCCACACACATCCGGACTCACATGACTGTTGATGTCATCGGCCTTTATCAGCATGTTTGGCGATCGCAGCTTCCTGCTGAACAGAACCATATCTATAGGAAGGATATTTGGGACAAGCTTAGCTCCCTCCTCCTCAGCATCCCCACACGACATGTTGTCATGGTGGCAGGAGACTACAACTCTGTGCTTCAGCCGCTGCCGCCCCACGTTGGGCCGGCTGCAACAGCCAAAGCAGGCTCCGCTACCACTGATAAATCCCTGGTCAGGTTGATTCGGGAACATAGCTTGTGTGTGCTGAATAGTTGGGCTGCTAAACCCTCCCACACTTTCGAATCCCATCAGGGCCAAACTCAAATCGACTTTGTGATGGCGCGCATTCGGGATAGCAAAGGATTAGCTAAGATGGCTCGGCCCCAGCATTCCTTCCCGGTAGGTGCGTGGCGCAAGGACGGACACTGGCCCGTGGAGGCCTGTCTACCAGTGACACCTTTTCACCGTAGACCCCAGGCATCCCGCCCTGTAGCTGCAGCTTACGACACCAAAGCACTACAGCTTGCCGTCATAACACAAAGTCCGGAGGCCGAAGCCCTCCGCCTTGATGTGGAAGGCCGACTGCCTGGCCTGCAGGCCACCTCTTTGCTGGGTGTCCGAAACGGTGTAAATCAGGTTATGTTAGATGCCCTCAGTAGGCACTTTCCCCTCCGACCCCGACCTGACACACGCATCAGTGCGCAAGGGCCCTATCGAGCCTCTGCTCGAGAGACTTGGCGCCTTTATCGGGTCTACAAGGCCCCTCGAATAGCCTATGGATTAAGAGTTTGGAGAAAATGGTTTGACTATGCCAGGTTCCGTCGAGCGTCTGCGGCCTTGCGGGCCCAAAGTCAGCAACTCAAACGATCTGCTCTGCTTAGCAAACTGGAAGAAGCCGAACAAGCCGCTGTGGCAGGCAACCAGCGCGTCTTGCATCAGATCGTCAGGAGCCTGGCTCCTTCGTCTTTTCAGATTGTATCCCGCCTTCGCAGCCCTTCGGGTGCTCTGCAGAGCAAGGCCGATGAGCTTCAACAAATCTTGCAACACGCCAAGGCTGTTTTTGCCAAGCATTCAGATCACTCTGAAATCAGCTGCTTGCATCAAGACTTTCACATCACAGATGCAGAGGTACAAGCTGAGCTTCGCAAACTGGGGGTGGCCAAGGCAGTCCCCAAAACTGTAGCCCCGGCGGCATGTTGGAAGCTGTGCTCTTCCGGCCTTAGTCAGGCACTGGGCCCTGCTCTTCGAACACACTTTCGAGCTGGCAGTGTCTGCCGTCTTCAGCAGGAGCTCCATGATGCACATGTGTCCCTGATCCCGAAACCCAATAAACCTGCAACGGAGGTAGCCAACCTCCGACCCATAGGCTTGCAGTGTCCATCAGCTAAAGTAGTGGCTGGGCTAGTTCGCCAGAAATTGCTGGATGTCCTGACACCTCTCCTGCAGTTCCAGCCCCAATATGCTTACACGAAGTGCAGAGGAACTTTCAATGCCATCCTCCGCGTGCATGGACACTTCGAGCAAGTGGGTCAGCTCCTGAGAGCCAATAGACTCGACCGCTTCCAGCAGCACCAGGGGAGCCAGAGACTCCCCTTCTTCGGTGGCTTAAGCTTATCTTTGGATTTGACTAAAGCTTTCGATCTGACTGATCGGCCTAGACTGTATGGTACGTTGTCCGAATTTGGGGTCTCACAGGATGTAATCTCTATAGTGCAGCAACTCTACAAGGATGCCCGTTATATCTTCCGAGCCGGCTCCTTGGAGCATGCCCTTGTCACAACCAACGGGCTTAAGCAAGGATGTCTCATTGCACCTTTTCTTTGGTGCTACTACACCTTGGCCCTTCTCCATACCCTACAGGCCAAACGCGATGGCGATTGGGCAAGGCGGGTCATTACGCTTTTTGCTGATGACACGTGGGGGAGTTGGGTCTTGAAGTGTAAAGAAGATTTCTACAGGGCCTTGGATGACTTAACAATCATACTTGAAACCTTAGTGGAGTACAAAATGGAGATCAATTATAAAAAGACTGCCATCCTGTTGAGAATTGAGGGCAAACAAGCCAAAGCCATTCTTCATGAGCATTGCTGTCTAAAAAATGGGCAACGTTTCTTGAAAGTGGTTGTACATGGCCAAATTGAGCTCATTCCCATTAAGGACTCACACGAATATCTGGGCACACAGGTTTCATATCGACATCGTCTTGACAAAAATCTCAATTCCCGTGTGCAGGCCGGACAGGCCAAACATCAGCAACTCAAAAAGGTCTTGAACGGCACCCATGTTCTCTCGAGCCATCATAGAGTTCGTCTCTGGGCTGCTTGTGTTCAGACCAGTCTCGTCTATTCCTTGCCGGCGGTTGGGGTAACCAAGATAGGTCTTCAGAAACTTGAAAAGGTCATGGTGAGGCACCTGCGCGCCATTTTCCGACAGCCTGCACACCTCACCCACAGCACCAATGCCTCCATTTGGGAGCGGGCTCGCCAGGTACCTGCAGGACGCCTCCTGCTTGGGGCCGTCGAAAATTTCACTGCCAAGCTGCAAGCCAAGCGGCTTGAGGCACCGGATATCACCACGGAACAGGCAGTGTTTGATCAACTCGACTCTCTCATAGCCTCCCTGCGGCGTTTGGTGGATGAGTGTAGCCAAACCACCCAACAGTCCACTGAGGACGCTACTCTTGATCACCTGTGTCCGGAGTGTGCCATGCCATTCTCCAGTGATAATGCACGGCGTATACACTGCAAGCTGAAGCATGGCTACTTGCCGGAACATGCCACGAGCAAACCGGTGAAATTTCAAGCCCATTTGCATGCTTGTGGGGGCCTCCCCCAATGTCAGCTTTGCAATCGTCGCTTCGGCAGGTGGCAGCAGCTTCGCCGGCACATAGAAGATGGCTCCTGCCATGTCCTCGGAGGAGAAAGCCTCACCAAACACCCTATCAATACGCAAGACGCTCAGGTGGCGTCGACTGATGACACAGCAGCGATTGACCCGGCGACCGCCACGGGTGTTCATCAAAACATGCCGTTAGTTCGCAGACACGATTTCTTAAGTCGATTGCATGACTGGGAAGCACTGCTCCGTGATCATCGGCTCCGCGCGGATCTGCAGTCGCACTGTTCCATCTGCCACATGTGGGTTGCTAGTTTCTGCAAGGTCAAGCAACACATTGTTAGGGTGCATGATAAGGAATCTCCTGGACTGCATGATGCGGCGATCAAGTTGTGTGCTACCTTTAAGCAGCAGCTGAAAAGTGGCCATGACTGTCCCTGGTGCCGAGGAAAAGTCTGGAGCCCGGGACGACACGCGCAACAATGTGTTGTTCTTTACCAGGTCTGTGTAGCCAAAGAATTTCACAGCCGACAGGTCAGTGAACGATCTGGCGGAACTCAATCCGGAAGCCGAGATCTTTGCACACTGCCATCCGAGCTTACTGTCGTTCCATTCGCAGGCCGAGACGCCAACCAAGGATCAACCGAGCAAGCGACCGCGACAGGAAGATTCCACACAGAAGCCGGGGAATCAGGTGTTGCAAAAACAGCAAGGCAATCGGCCCACAGGAAATCTGATGGAAAGCTTGAAGCTACTAGCAAGGCTGCTAGTGCAACACGAAGATCAGTTGGCGGCATTGCGCATGGACAAGGGCTTCGTGCTTTTTGCACGCCAAGATCAGTTCTCGCTCATTCCGGCGATGTACGCCATCTCGAAAGAGTGGAACCACACTCGCGAGACCGAACCCGAGAAGCTTCAGTCCCCATTGAGAACTCTCCTCTTAGCTTGTCTCATTCGGGAACTGATGCAAAGAATCCAGAAGATGGTGGCAACCACCGAGGGGATGGACAAACTCAAGGCCGCCAGTTGGATGACAGCTGGAGGCGAGTGGTGCTTCATGAAGTTCTGTCATCGAACCAAGAAGCTCATCCCCAACCCGGCCCAGTCTGCCATGGCACACGACGAGGTCATCCGTCTTCTGACATTCTTGTTGACAGCGATGCAGGGGGAGATAATACACAAGTTCTGCAGCACTCGACCACTCAAGCAATTGGAGGGCTCGGCAGACCAGAAACCCCAAGCTGTGTTTCTGCTGGAGATCTCCCTACGGGGGGAGAAAGCGGGGGAAGTTCACGAGGCCTTCTCCAGGTTGGCCAATCTTTCGGTGTGGCAATTGATCAGGGTCTCGATGAAGCGAGAGTCGCTGCAGCGATCCAATGCGGCGAAGAAAGTTGCACAGCTGCTCGGACAGCGGTGAAACAGCCGAATCGCCCGGGGCATCCTGATACAGCTGCCACGCAGCTGAGTACGAGCCCTATCCACTGGACACAAGTACCATGTCACAAGATCAGCCGTACTGTTTGCCTGACTTTACCCTTTTCAACCCAGGCAATCATTGCTATCTGAATGCTTTCCTGTATGCTCTCGCTGCTGCTGCAAAGGCCACCTCCCTGTGGTCTCAGCTTCCGGGGGTGATGCAACAGTTGGCAGGTCGCATGGGGAATCGAGCCATGGGGCTCATGGGGTTTTGCATGCTTGGCTGGCGTGACCCTGAGAGTCAGCACGACATAGCTGAGCTGATTGACTACGTACATCCACGATTAGCTCCTAGGTCCTTCAGGGGAAGCTGGCAAGGTCGCCGGCAAAGCATGCATTCGCCGCTTCAAGTTGTCAGGACTGCCATAGTGCGGACGACCCAATGCATACAACTTACCCCTCCCCCACTGCATAGACCAAGCCTTCAGTATATCATACAGCATTGGCATGAGCAGGATGATCGTCAAGCTCTCACTGTTGCAGGACAGTGGCTGTTCTTCCAGCTACCCAGGTTTCAGAACAGGAGCGGGCAGCTGCACAAAACCAGACAGATGTATGATTTGCCAAACACCGTGCAGGTGCCACTCTTTTGCGACGACACGTCGCTCCTAGTGCAGTGGCTTCCTTACACACTTACGGCAGTCATCCGACATCATGGCTCAACGCCGCTCGCAGGTCATTACACCACGTTGATTTTCTCTGAAGGGGCATTCCGAGTTTACGACGACGACAAAAAAGTTCGCATTGCCACAGCTGCCGATTGCAGTAAAGCATGCCGCGACATGTATATCGTTGTCTTAACCAGTGCCTCATCCTCTGCATCAGCTGCTCCTGAACCTAGCTCGGGCAGTGCTGCCACAGTAGCCTCTGATGGGGCGTCCACTTCGGTTGCGCGTGTTGCTGATGGACGGAGCATTTCAACAGTAAATAGCATTGACCATTATTTTCCCAAGAAGGCCTAAGACGGCCAAGGGGCTTTTAACCACTTTTGTGTTGTGGTCCTTGTATAGCTGTGGATCGCTAGTTAACGTTAGCGTAGTAAGCCTCCCAAGGGCATGCGTGCCATGCCGACACGATCGGCCGGTGCAAAGCACTGAAGGCGCTCGCTGGACTAGAGACCTTTCTAGCCGCGTCGGAAGAAGATGATGATAGTGATGATGGTGAAGATGACCGCGATACTGATGATGATAATGATGGTGCTTCTGGCTCTGGTGATGGTAATGAGTTTGATGCCGATGATGATGGTGCTGATGCTCTGACGATGATGATGATGATGATGAGGAGGCGGAGGATGATGACGGTATCTGTCCTTGTCCAACACCAGGTCATGATTGTTGTGGCATGTGCTCGACATGAAAGCTTTGTCCAGAACTCCAACCTCGTGGGAGCGACAACACAATTATCCTGAATCCTACGCCCCAAATAAACCCCAAACCCCCAAATCCTGCGCCCCAAAGCCCGAAACCCCAAACCCATAGATCCTAAGCACCTCAACCCCTAAAGCCAAAACCCCTTAATCCGAAGCCCCTGAACCCCTAAACCCCAAACCCCTAAATCCTTCAGCCCCTAAACCTCTAAACCAAATCCGAAGCCCCCAAATCCGAAGCCCCGAAACCCAAAACTCCTAAATCCTAAGCACCTAAACCCCTATACCCCTAAACCCCCAAACCCAAACCCCTAAATCCTAAGCCCCGAAACCCCAGAACCCAAGCCTGTCTCCCGAGCGAAGACGGAAGCTACCGCAGTTCGTGCCTGGCTTTACACACTGCAGCGGAGGTTTCAAATGTTGTAGGGGTTAGGGTTTAAGGTTAGGGTTTAGGGGTTAGGGTTTAGGGTTTAGGGCTTTAGGACCTTAGCCATTTAGGGTTTAGCCGTTTATGGTTTAGGGTTTAAGGGAGCTTAGCCGTTTAGGGCTTTAGGGCCTTTAGGGTTTTGGTCTAGGGTTTAGGGTTAGGGTTTGGGGGTTCAGTTTAACTCGGCTTCATTCCTGAACTCCAAACCTGTAAACACAAAAACCCCTCAACCTTACACCGTAAGCCCCGAAGCCAAAACGCCTAAAGTCCACACCTTAGAAGCTGCCCCCACCTATAAGGATTATAGTCGGGCCCTATTATATTCCTATTACACCACTATTAAGGGGCGGGGGCCCCTTCTGATCCACACGTTTCAAGCTTAGGCTGGGTTGGCCTTTAAACACCCTGAAAAATATTTATATATATGGTCTCCCTAACCCTATTTTAGATCCCTTATCGACCCCTTTAAGATCCCTTATCGACCCCGTTAAGGATCCCTTTATAGCGAACCCTGGGTAGCTACTAAGGCCCCTATATTATGGTAATCTAGACCCAAGAGTAACCTGGGAATACAAAGGGTGCCCTTTTTGGTTCAAAGTGGCTGATAAGGGAACCTCAACCCTTAAAAGGGAATAAGGGCCTACTCTGGGTCCTAGCTTATAAACCCAAATGAGGAAAATAGAAAATGTCCCAAAATCCACGCTAGTTGGAATAAAGCTCTGAGCAACACACCGCAACAACTGCAGCTTTCTGACCCGAACCCCTGGCCCCAAGAACTTGAAACCAAAGGCAGAACCCTCGCTTCAGGGTTTTAGAGTTTGCCTGTTTCAGGGTGCTTTTAGGGTTTAGGGTTCAGGACTTCAAGATATCAAACTTAAACGTTTTGGCGTTTAGGGTTTTCAGTTACCAAAGAAACACACTCAAGATTCGCATAGCTCAAATTTCCGGATGCACTGCCAGCCTCCGTCGGAAGGCACGCCAAGAACAACCTGGCGGGCCATGAGAGTAGGATATCCTGAACACTGAAAGCCAGCCAAACTGGCCTTGACGACTCGAACAGCGTTATTCTTGCAAAGAATGTAAGGACCATGAAGGAAAATGGCTACTAGTTATTCCGACTACTATACCCTAAACCCTAAGCCCAAAGCCCTAAAGACCTAAACCTGAGCCCTAAACCCTAAACCCTAAACCTCAACCCCTATGCCCTAAACCCTTTTTAGGTTTGGGCTTTGGACTTTGGGGCTTTGGGTGTTGGTTTCGGGTGTAGGGTTAAGGACTTCGGCGCTAGAGTCTGGGGCGCGCGGTTGAGGGCTTTAGGCTTAGAGGCTGAGGTTTGGGACTGGGGTTTGGGATTTGTGGTTTAGGGTTTAGGACTTTGGGCTCAGAGTTCTGGTGATCGGGTTGAAGACGTTGGGCTAAGAGTTTGGGATTTAGAGTTGGGGGTTTTGGGGTAGGTTTTAACGACGTGTACATCTCGGACCTGAAAAGCTCGTCATCCGCTCTAAAACCCCAAACCCGAAACAAAAAGCCTTAAACCCTAGACCCCTAAACCCTTATACAAGCGTGAAAGGAACCCTTGAAGAAACTCTACCACCTTGAGCCCTGAGCCTAAACCCCTAAACAGTAAGGGACGCTAAGCGGCCCCGAACCCTATTTTAGATCCCTTATCGACCCCTTTAAGATCCCTTATCGACCCCTTTAAGGATCCCTTTATAGCGAACCCTGGGTAGTTACTAAGGCCCCTATATATATTATGGTAATCTAGACCCAAGAGTAACCCAGGCATAAAAAGGATGCCCTTTTTGGTTTAAAGGGGCTTATAAGGGAACCTGAACCCTAAAATAGGGAATAAGGGCCTACTCTGGGTCCTACGGTTGATGATATAAATCCTGCATTAGCCATAATATGGAATTTACCATTACTCTCATAGTTTAGGGTCCTTAAGGTAATGCAGGATTAATATCATCAACCGTAGTAATGGACGCTCAGAAGCTTCCCTGGCCTCCAGCACTACCAGCGTGGGCCACCGGGATCCTATTGCGCTGCTTCCTGCCCGGAGGGGCTGCAGTGAGCGGCCTTGTCATCGCTTAGGGTTTAGGGTTTTAGGTTTTAGGGTCTAGGGTATAGGGTTTTTTTTTTTTTAAAGCCCCTTTTCGTAACTGCAGACAGCTCCGAAAGCCCAGTCGGGCAGGCAGCTTACCAGCTTCGGCAAGCATTGGAACCGTAGGCGAGTATCTTACGACTCTCCTCACAGCAAAAAGTCACACCCCTCTCACTCGTCACCCTCATCGGTCTCCCGCTGGCGTTTGATCCCTTTCCCTTCGTCCTCAACTTGGGGCTGGCTCTGGCTTTCCACCGGTATCACCCCTGTCGAACCCGATGCCCCTCCAGATCCCCTCGGATCCATCTGTCCTTCACTCTCGGCAGCAAGTTGATGTTGAAACACCCCCAACCAAACTTCTCCAAGTAGTTCCCTGACCTTGGCCGACGAGACCTCCATGAGCTTCCACTTTTTATACATCACCTCCAGGTTCTGATCCTCACGATTGGCCTCCTTAGTCCCCTCCTCCGCTGGGATCGTCGACACCTGACTCGGGGATGCACCATCCACCTCCACCACTTGCATCTCCATTTGCAGTACTCCTTGCCCTTGCCTCGGCAGGACCAAGCTGAAACTTTTCTCCGTCGCCTGCCCTCCCGGAGCAACATGACGGACCCGAAAGCTCAACTGCTGCTGCCTCGGGACATCCGGAGCCGTGTTCAAGACCAGCCACTCTTCCCAGTCCTTGTACTGTGCCGCTTGGTACTTCTCGAAGCTTTCCGCATCCCTCTCACTTTGCAGCCTATCCTCCTCCTCCTTGTCCTCGAGCTCCCGCCTTTCTGCACTCCGTTCTCGAAGAATCTCCCTTTCGTCCTCGCTGAGCTGGTCATTAGTAGGCTCCGTCTCCTGCATAGCCGTAGGCGCCACCACTGCCTCCAAGCGGGATTGCGGCCGTAATTCCACGCAGCTAAGCAGCATGTTCTCCGCCATTGTCACCCAAGAGTCGGGATCATTCAAGCATTCTCCCTGACGAAGCTCCGGCCCTGCCTCCCGGATCATGGCAAGTTCAGCACTCTGGACTACAACTAAGTGCTGTCAGCAACGTGG